CCATTCAATGTCATATTGAAAAGATGACAACATCCTCTTTCTCTCACCTATTTCTAGCAGAGTCATTGCTTGCTTAACAGTAATAACTTTCTCTTTCCAACCTAGATATTACCTACCCTTGCCAAGCATGACCCCAACAAGAGGGACTACACTCTCCAGTCTGGGCTTACAGCTCCCACCTCCTGCAAACAAGGAGGAACAAGTGCTGCAGCTGTGGAGAAGCGTGGCTGCAGCACACACACCACGCACAGGCAGCATAAGTCACTGCTTTGAAACAAGGCTCCGTGGTCCACAAGCTCTTCTGCAGCGTGGGTGACAAAAGCAGTATTAAGTTTAAGCTGTTTCCCTGTTGCATCTCAGATGCAGCTTTCTTTTTAATACAGAGTGAGCCATATGAGGTTTTTCTTCTGCAAGGGCCAGTTGGACAAGCTATGTTCCATTACTACTCCAGATAGGCTAGAAGTTGTTAGATTAAAAAACCTCATCACCATGAAATGCTACTTTACCATCAGATTTTGAGAGCTCAACAGTAATTATTTCCATCTGTGCGATCCACTCATTACTGCCACACATTAGCACACCAGCTACAATCCACAATGTAAGAGTTCACTTTGCAGTTTGCCTACACAGTAAAATAACTTAAAGCATAAAATTTGAAGCACAGGAAATTTCCTAGTTTTCAACATGGACACACGTTTGTTGAGAAAAACTAATGCGGTCCTTGGAGTAGCTTAATTCATTAGATTAAGCAAAGTCATCTAGGAGAGCAAAACATCTGCTCTGAAAAGAAAGCATCCACATAGTAGCTCTTCCCAGATAACTGCTTGGAAACACCACAAGAACTGACAAGCCACATTAAATCATGCCAGATCAGCAAGGCAGACTGTAATGACTGCATTAAATTTAGACATCAATTCTTTATATTATAGGTTCAGCCACAACAACAGATATATAGCATTAGTGTAACAGATTTTTAAGAAATCAGCTTTTTTAGGGACATCCACTCTGTATTAGGCACTCCTGGAGGTGATCATTAAACAAAGCCTCATTGAAACCTCTCTCAAAAGACTTCTGTTAAAGTGTCACAGGATACTGGATCAGGTTCCAGTCTGATAAATTGGCCAAAAAGGAGCATGGAGGCAAAAGGGTGTTTAACAGAAGGAGAATCAAGAAAAAGAAAAAGCTTTTGCAGACAAACACAAAGTTATAGCCCTGACTTCATGTTAGACACATAAATAAATGTTTTTGTACGTTACATCCACTTCAGCAAAAGCAATGCAAATTGGAGGCTCCCAAGGTGGGTTCAGAGACCACACATGGCTACAGAAAGGCAGTTCATAGACAGGAATTCCCAGAAGACCTTTGGTTTGTGGGTTAGGGTGCTGCTTCCGCAGAACTGCAGTTGTGTTAGCTTAGGTTTAACAAAAAAAAAAAAAAAAAAGCCCCCTGCAGCATAAGCCTGGGCTCTCAGTGAAAGACACTCAAACACTTAGGTACTTGTCCTCTCCAGTTTTCCAGCCTACTCCTTTCTGCTAATTCACACGCTTGCAAGCAGAGCAGAGACCTGAACTGAGGACATTCAGTATCATTAGTTCCCTGATCCAGTCTGCTACTAGATCCTTTAAGCCTCCAAGGCAGCAGACCTGGCTCAAAGCCAGGCTGTCCAAAGCAGCAGACCCACTCTCCTTTCAGCTTCTGCTAGCATATCCCTTTTCATGGCTATAGCAGTAAAGTGACACTTGCACTAACCAAAGATGTTCTACATGGGAGACTAGGAATTCCCACCCCCCAGTACCAAGAAATGCCTGTCAGCCACCCCAAAACTATACACATTTCCCAAGGAAAACCCTGACTACATTACAAGTCCATGTGGCGGTAGTGGTGGGAAGCACCATCAAGCTGATGCTGCCTCCTTCTCAAAGGCAGACCCCTTGAGGTTTTCATTCTATTACACAGGAAGCTGAACTCATGGCTTGCACTCATCCAGGTTCTTATTCACTCACACCAATTGTTCGCTGCTTATATTTGTGTCCTCTGGCCAGACCCACATCAGAATATACCTGACGTCTTGCATCAGCTATAAATCCAGGGATGCTTTTATGTACACTGGTCCAGTAGTCCACCATTTTAGGTAATAATACTGAAAAAAAAAAAAGGTTTTGAAAATGTCCTCTCCACAGTCCAGCCTATCCACCCATCTATGTCAAGTCTCCTTTGGATTCATCGCAGCGAAAAACTCTTGCTGGGAACTTCTCAAGTTCCAGCTTCCCAATAAACGAGAGCTTTGAAAAGACCTTTGTCAGCGTGCTGCTGAATCAGGGTAACATGAAGTGGTAGAGGGGCACAGCAGGCAGCTATCTCCAAATGCAGCAAATGCATACAGACCTCAGTCCTGAGCAGGCCCCAAGGGCATGTTGTTCCAAGCCATAGCAACAACATTATGTGGAGAATGACCTTAAGGTGCAATGGCGAAAGACAGCTTCACATAGTGGCAAAGCCCTCAGGGAAACTGTCTGAGTCCTGAGAAGTTTCCAAGTGATGTCAGCTTCATTACCCACTTTATCAGCCAGTCTTTACAGCAGTAGTACCCGAAGTGCTAGTGCCTTGCATAGCTATAAAGTACTGACTTAGGTTTCGCTTTGAGGTACATGTCAGTCTCCTTTCTTTCCAATTGAGGTTAGTCAGTCCATGACCATGCCAGATACACTCAGCACATACAAACCCTGAGTCTCCTTTCCTTCCTGAGAGCAGCTCCCACCTGAACAGCACCTCTACAAAAGTCCTCAACACACTCCCTCCTGCAGAACAGCCCTTTGGTAGCTCTGGTCACATCCTCATGCCACCCTAAGGCAGCCAGAACACCTATAGGTACTTAAGACTTTCCTCAACAGCTCAGGTCTGTTTGTGATATTCACTGCAACAGAGAAAAAGAGTGATGATGTTTCTGGCTTCCCAGCCTGGATCACAGAATGGTTTGGGTTGGCAGGGACCTTACCGATCATCTAGCTCCAACCCCCCTGCCACGGGGCAGGGACACCTTCCACTAGATCAGGTTGCTCAAAGCCCCATCCAACCTGGCCTTGAACCCTGCCAGGGAGGGGGCATCTACAACTTCTCTGGGCAACCTGTTTCCGTGCCCCACCACCCTCATAGTAAAGAATTTCTTTCTTATATCCAGTTTAAATTTGTCCTCTTTCAGTTTAAAGCCATTACGCCTTGTCCTATCACTACATGCCCTTGTAAAAAGTCCCTCTCCAGCTTTCTGGTAGCCCCCCTTTAAGTACTGAAAGGCTGCTACTAAAGTCTCCCCGCAGCCTTCTCTTCTCCAGGCTGAACTCTCTCAGCCTTTCCTCACAGGAGAGGTGTTCCAGCCCTCGGATCATTTTTGTGGCCTCCTCTGGCCCCGCTCCAACAGCTCCATGTCTGTCCTGTGCTGAGGGCTCCAGAGCTGGATGCAGGACTCCCAGTGGGGTCTCACCAGAGCAGAGCAGCAGGGCAGAATCCCCTCCCTTGACCTGCTCACCACATTGCTTTTGATGCAGCCCAGGATACGGCTGGCTCTCTGCGCTGCGAGCACACATTGCTGGGTCATGCTGAGCTCATCAATCAACAACCCCAAGTCCTTCTCCTCAGGGCTGCTCTCAATCCATTCTCCACCCAGCCTGTATTTGTGCTTGGGGACTACCTTTATCACTGAAGAAGTCTGAAAGAAGGCACTGGAGTTGGCATGACAGCATGAGTCCCCATGCTTGACAGTGAGGGGATGAGTACACCCCCCTGATGTACGAGCAGAGATTTTACAACCAAAGCCTGTGAAAAGCTGATGAAAATAAACTTTGTCTCTAGGCAAGCATCCTTAACAGCAAGACAAAGAGTTACTAAAAACACCCAAGCTAAATCCTCCTCTTTACAATGGGAAAAGGCAGGGACCACAACCAGAATACCAGAGCTGCTGAGGTTGGAAGGGATCTCTGGAGATCACCTGGTCCAACACCCTGCTCAAGCAGGGTCAGCTAGAGCAGGCTGCCCAGGACCATTGTCCAGTCAGGTGTTGAGTATCTCCACAGGTGGAAACTCCACTACCTCTCTGGGCAACCTGTGCCAGTGTTTTATCACTCTCACAGTAGAAAAGTGTTGTCTTGTGTTCAGAAGGAACCTGCTGTGTTTCAGTTTGTGCCCACTGCCTCCGGTACCGTCACAGGACACTACTGAGAACAGTCCAGCTCCCTCTTCATTTCCTCCCATCAGGTGTTTACACACAGGGATAGCCCCCCTGAGCTGTCTTTTCCAGGCTGAACAGTCCCACCTCTCTCAGCTTCCTCTCACAGAAAGATGCTTTGGTCCTTTAATCATCTTCTCAGCCCTCCTCTGACAATTCAAGCCTGCACCACGCACTGTAGCGAGCCCCACAAGAGCTATGGGTGCCAGAATAAATCAGCATACCATATTAAGTTACACCATCCTCCTTCCCCAGCAATCTGTGTTTTTCCACAGAATGATAACAACTTCAGAAAAAGACAGAAGTACAGGAATTATTCCAATCGCACTATTAGATCATTTGGACAGATATTGATGGGCTCCAGAAAACTGATGCACATTAATTCAGTAGCAATTGTATATTTGAATATTACAAGCTTTAAATATGCAGCCTTTGGTTGAAACTTCTTAACCAAAAGAGGGGTAGAATCAGAGCTGTGGCAAATCTAAAGCCAGGCAAAAGCATGTATAACAACCTCAGCATAAGGATTCCCTTGAGAGATCAGCACTGAGGATGTTTAGCAGTATTTTCCAACAACCACAGAACCATTCAAGACACAACAGCAAAATAAAGCAGGAAAACAGGCTATAAACAGAATCGCCACTTCAAACCAGTCTCCACCTCCCCCAGCCCTGTTAGGGCAAGATGTTGGTAACTGTATTACTTCAGGGTCAACACATACTCATGCATTTGCAAGTCAGAAAGGGTCACGATTACATCGCACCACTGCTGCTAGGCATACCTGTGTTTTTAGGCCCATCTGCATACACCGGTCCTGGAGGCGGAGGTGCATTTTGCCATCCATACTGGGGATAACCTTGATAACCTGGCTGGCCTGGCTGGTATGGCCCAGTAGGTCCAGGAGGATAGCCTGGGTATGGGCCAGGAGGACCACCCGGCTGCTGTGCATAGGGTGGGTAAGGGGCAGTCGGGCCCGGACCAGGGTAAGGTGGAGGATTTTCGTAGTTCATGTGGGATGTAGAATCTGTCCTGCAGAAGAAGAAAAACAAACAGAAGAATTGGTTTGCTTTTGTCTGCTTCATCTATGACTGTATAATTCCCATTTCAGACTGCTCTCCAGAAAGCCCTACATTAAGTGTGAGAAACAGACCTCAAAATACCTGGCCAAGCAGTGAGTTTATTTTTAACCCTACCACAGGAGCAGAGACTGAGTTTAAGTCATTTAAGTGACATTAGTTTAGCTCAGCAGCAGACTGACCTGCTACTTTCCAGTGCATCAGCTATTCACCCTAAGACATTTAGCAGTCTTGCAACTGCAAAGTAAAAATCCCCTGCTTCCACTCATGATTAAATTGCTTTTAAGAGATATTTAGAAGAGATTACTTCATGTTTCTGTCAATATTAAAAAGAAAAACATGCAGAAATGCAGCCTGTTCCAGACACGTTTGATTGCCTCAACCGGAGAAAGAGGGAACACAGAAATCCATTATACTTCTGCTAATTGTCACAAGCATCCAGACTAGCACTCTGGAGCAAGACTGCATATGAATAATTTCCTGATGACACAGTAACCCAGCACATTGCGTATTCTTCCAGTAATAAGCAACTGAATCATCTAGCAGCCACAAGCAATCAGGACCTTAAGCTTAGTCTCATTCAAAAAGCAACATTAAAGACACTTCAGAGACTTCAGAGAGTTGATGTTCCTAAAACCTATCTAATATATTATCATGGTACAGTCATTAGAAGACAAGACTGTCAAAGTAATGCAACTTTAATTAACCTCTAAGCAGCATGACTAAAGCAAACCATTTCTTACATTAGGTTTCTAAAGCTTCTCTCTGTTTGAAAAACAGAAGTGTCCTTAATACCACATGTTCAGGAACTATCCTGACTGAAGTAGCTGAACTCTGCTATTTTCTTTCACCATTACAGAGTGCAGGAGGTTCACCATTTCCCCTTTGCTGCATACCTCCTCCCACACGCCACAGGCTTCAGGGAGAAACACCAGGAGCATAATTTGCCTCCACTGAGGCTCACCGCTGCTGGCATGGAGCAGGAGAGGCTGACAAGCAGGATCCTCTTTGCATGGTGCTGGAAAGGGCAAGCAGCCGGGCTAGACTGACCTGGATGCTCACTACTGTGCACCCACTCTTGGGGATGTGCAGATTTTGAGTCTGGAGGAGACCCATTAGCACATCCAGACCGAGCTCTGGTGTGACGCAGATTAAAGAATTTCACCTTTGTAACTCTATAGCGAGCCCAGAGCAGTCATCTGCCGGGCAGAAGCCAAGTGAGCCAAGCCTCTGAGGCTATGTTTAGCTGCTGCAGTCCTTGACATCTTCGAAGTGAGCTTTGTTTGTTTACAGCTTGCTAGTTCATCACCTCAGAGAGTCCCTCCCCAAGGAAGGATCCCTAGGCTCCCTGCTTATTTACATGTTACTCCTGCCTGAACATTGCTAGCACAATGCTCACTGCCGTACAGGCACCACGGGGCTCTCCCATGCACGCAGCCCCGTCCCACTCTCGCAGTGACAGCCAGTCTGATTACAGATCCCTGTGCCCAGGAGACCACTGTTGGCTTGAAGCGACTCCAGAGGTGCACTCCAAGGGCACAGGGCTGACATCCCTCCCACAATGACACCAAGAAGCCCTGCAGTCTCCGCAGGCTGGGTCTTCCCGGGCCTCACCAGCCTGCAGTTGTCATTCACCTGAATTCATTCTAACACTCCTCTTGCTGTGCATACCAAGCACGGTCCCAGTTAACTGCTAAAGCACTGCTGATACCTTTCAAATGATATTTCTTAATGTCTTTCACAAGAGTTTTAACTGTGTAACCAATGCCAGGGATTAGAGGAATTTTATTTTTGTTTTCCATTGTCAGTCCACACAGACCACTTAACAGCTCATCTTAAAAGCAACAAGAATAATATACAACCAACAGACCCCTGCGAACTTCCCCCAAGTTTGCTCAGCCTCCCCAAGCTGGCATACAGCTGCAGTACCCGCTCCCAGTGCGATGGGATCCAAAGCTCTGCTGCATGCCTTGGAGACAACTGCCTGCCTGCCCCACTGGGGTGCCTGCAGGAGGCAGGGATCAGCAGTCACCCTCCCGGATTTAGGGATTCACCAAGTCAGGGAGGAGGCACGTGGGAGCCCCTGTTCCACGCCTAAGAGCCCCAGCCCACTGTCTGCTCCTCGGGCAGGAGCCAGCCCCTCCATCCACCTCCCCCTTCTCTGGGGCCCTCCAGGTCTGTTCTCGGCTGTAAGTTGGCATCCTAGATACATACACGTGGTGTGTGTACACACACACATAGGGCATTCAAAGGCAGCAAACCGCAGATCGTGTTTTTTGTTTGTAAGCCTTTTCTTAAGAACCCCCAGGGCTCAGCTTGCTTTGGTGATCATTGCCAAGCTCCAGAAAAGAGTCACATTCATAACTTTGGTTTTCCAAAGCCCTCCTACCTAAGAGGACAGTTAGTTCAGCCTGTCCTTTCCAGTGAAATTCAGTGAAGTCCAGTGTTCCCTTCTGTCCCTTCATATGCATCCATTCATTTATCTATATTCAATATCATTGCCATTTTAGTGGCATAGCAAGGCTTAAAAGATCTTGCAATTCCTCAGTTGGCTGTGATGTCAAATTCAAGCAGTGGATAACAAACTTGGCCATCACACTGCTCCTTGCCACGGGGACTTGTGCCAGGACCCCCAGGGGCCATCCTCCACCATCAGGGCTGGCCATTCACTTTCTTCCCTGTTCCCTTCAATACCAAGCAGGGAGCCTGCCCACTATCCCACGGCTGCCTGATTTATGCGCAAGCACTCACTGTGAGACTATACTAAAAGCCCTTCGGAGGGCTGGTACAACTGCTGGTGGAACCACACGGGTAGAAAAGTCTGAGATGGGGATCAAGGATGATTAAAGAAAATTGCACATCAGCAGCTCTGCAGAAAAGTCTGAGAAACCAGACAGAAGTGGTTAAAAATCCCAAGTCCCACAATGCCTTGAGCAAACAGGGAAATGGTGGCATAAGAAACAAGAAAGAAATGCCAGTGCTCTTTGTTTAACAGCTCTGCATTAGCCATGTCAAACACTTTTTGAAGAGGAGGCAGGTTTGGAGTGGAGCTAGTAAGCAAGCTTCTGCCTGTTAATGCGGGACAGGGAGAAAACTGGAGAGAGTCTACTAAAAGTCAGACAGGTGCCTGGGCAGAGACCAGACCTCAGAAGAAAAACAGAACTGAGGAAAAGATGAAGAATGAGACTGGGCATATTCCACCACGGCACAAGTTACTTTTCCCTTCAAAGTTGAGACTAAAGTAACACAACCAAGATCAGGAAAGAAGTAAAAGAGAACATCCAGCAGGAACAGTTTCAGCAGCAACTGTACTGGACATTTATCTGCGATGAACAAATGAGAAAATTCCCCAAAGCATTTATCCAGGCACTCAGCAAACCCAGGAGGTGGTTGTAGAAACCAGGTTCTCCAGAGATCCCAAGTACTACTTCCGTCCACGCCCTCCCAGCTCCACCTCAGCTGTGAAGGTCAGCCTTCTTGCAATGGTCTTTATCCCCAGTAACATTCTCGGGAAGAATTTTACCTTGTCCCTCATTTCCGCTATTAGTTACTGCCACGCATATACCCTTCCCTACTCGCCCTTTTTGAACTGTGTGACAGTATTTAGATTTTCCTCATTCTCATGAACTCACACATGATTTTGCATGCTTACTAGCCCTATTTACTCACCTGGATATGTGTTTGCAAGGCACAGCCTTGAATCATTAAGCAGATACTTTTCACAGACATATTTGAGCTCCTAGTCAAACGTATTATGAAGCTTTGCTATGCGTTCTCACCCCAACTAGCAATTCCATGTGAGCTGCAACTCAGACCAAGAGTTTGCATCAGAGCTCATATCTATGGGTTTCCTAATGAGCACCTCTCTGAGGCCAAGCTCGAAAGAAAGAAGGCAACACATTAGTAAAGACCTTTGTTTTTCATGGCACTGCAGGAGGTCCATCAGGAAAAGCCAGTATAGCAGTGAACAGTCCCATTCGATGTGAAACTTCATTTAGCACTAAACCCAGAAAACGAAGAGATTTCCTTGATCGTCACTTAAGCATTTACCCTATCTGTTGCTCTTAACGACAGAGAAATTACTAGTCCACCTGAAGAGAATGACAAAACAAGTTCCTACTCCTTCCTCTATGCACTCCCCTTAGTACTTTTGCTAAGAGGTAAGTTCGTTACTATATCATTAAGTTTCCTTAAGCTATCTTTGAACTTCTTTGTTCCACACTCCTGAGCAAACACCATTTCCCCCTACCCTAACAGAAAGTTTTTATTTTTAAACAAGCAGCTTACCATACCCCAAAAGGCCACACCGTCTCCCCTAAGGTCTGCAAAAAAGAAATCCAGTACTGAAGTAGGAGTACACACACAATGCAGCACATAGAGAATACATACGGCACTGTATGTACATGTATATATATAGACACATACAGAGATGTCATACGTAAGAAGCACCATCCTATGTGAGAACGTAAGTCCCTCTACAACTGTAACCTGCTTTTGACTATGTCTTAGCAAAAAGGTGAACTACTATGCTTTGTATACACTATATACACTCTTTTAAACTGTCCATTTTCGCAACCCATACACCTTAAAGAAACAAGTTTCATCATTAAGCTTCAAAAGTACCTGCTTCTCTCCAATTGCTTTAAATTTACTGCTTCTTACAAAGTCAGCATACCAACGCAGCTTACAGAGCTAGTCAGTCACCTCTCCTGACTCTCCTCTTCCAGCACGCTCATGAATTTATTATCTTTTTCTCTCCAGGCATCTCTCCTGAGCTGAGGACACTCTGTTTCTACAAAGCCTGTCCTATTCCTTGGTCATTCTTGCCACCCACTGCTTTGCCTTTAGTTTTACTGTTTGTCTGAGAGGGAGCGAGCAGGCTGCATGAAGCTCTACTGTGCAGTGTTACAGCAGTCTTCTGCTTTCCGCCCCTTTCCTAGCCCACTCCCAGAACAG